CCAAGCCTTGGAGGCCGCGTGGTGGCTGACGTAGGACAGGCCACCAGACCTGCATGTGTGTGAATCTCCTCTCAGCCGTCCATGTGCTTGGGCAAGTTGCTGAGCCTCCGTTTCCAGTTCAGTAAAATAAATGCTGAGGACTGAGAACGGGAGAGCTTCTAGTCTAGGATGTGACACAAGTAGGATGTCTTCCCACCTAACGTTCCCCAGCAGCCAAGCCCGACCTCGGAGAAGTCCCAGCAACGGGCAGGAGCCTGACTGTCCCCCAGAGTGGTGTGAGGACCCCTCTCTTCCTGCTGGCTGCTTAGGCCGCTGACCCAGGGAGGAAGGACAATGGCTCCCCGCCTCCCAGGCTGGCGATTAGGGCCTTGATGGCCCAGAGGCTTCCGCCCATCACACTAGGGCAGTGATGGCGAACCTATGACACGCATGTCAGAGGTGACACGCGAACTCATTTTTTTTGGTTGATTTTTCTCTGTTAAATGGCATTTAAATATATAAAATAAATATCAAAAATGTAAGTCTTTGTTTTACTATGGTTGCAAATATCAAAAAATTTCTCTGTGTGACACGGCACCAGAGTTAAGTTAGGGTTTTTCAAAATGCTGACACGCCGAGCTCAAAAGGTTCGCCATCACTGCTCTAGGGGCTGCTCTCAACCAGTGCTCAGAGCAGCTGAATCTGGGGTGAGACCACCCTGCGACTTAGTCCACAGGAACTCAGAGCCCTCAACCTAAACCCTTCAAGGTGTTAAGGCATCCATTCCCTCTCCTGTCAAGTGGGACTCCCAGGCCCTCCCCTGCCTGTGGTGGTCGGCACCAGGACCTTCCCGTGTAAGGAGCAGCCCAACCGTCTGGGCTCTGGAGGGACAAGGGTTGCAGGATCTTTGCCTTCAGGGCTGTCTGGCCTTGTGGAGTCATGAGGAGGCATCACCTTGCAAAGAGATCAGAGGGACTCAGAGCTCCTCCAGGCAAGGGCAGGGGGGTCATGGGTGCTCCTACCCCCACCTCTAGCATTGAGGGGCAGGGCTATGGCAGGGGGGCCCAGGAGCCCCGGAGGAGGCTGGCCTCTGTGACTAGTGGCGCCTCGGGAGCACCTGAATCTGGGCTTTTCACACTGTCCCGAGGCCTGAGTGAGAGGAAGGGGTGGCTTCCAGGCCCCACCACTGGGTTAGAACATGGTCAGGAACCGGGTCCTGGAGGAGGTTTGGATGGGCACAGAGGGGCCTCCGGAGGCGGGAAAGTGCAGAACCGGAGGTGGGAAAGCAGTTGCTCCATGGGACACAGAGGAGCAGCCCGGCTGTTGCTGAGTGAGGGGCTGACGATGCAGGGAGGTTGGCCCAGCCTTGCCCTCAGCCTTAGATGGCAGGGCGTAGGCCAGGCTGAGTGCTGTCGGCACGCTGGGCCCCGGGGGTATCTGTCAGCTCCTGGTGTCGGGAGTGAGGCTGCAGGGACTGTCAGGCCTGCCCACCTCCGCTGCTCCGTTTCACATCTTGCACAGGGGAAACCCGGGAGGCCAGGCCCGGCTCCGCACCCAGAGGGAGGAAGCGGTGTCCTGGCCTCCTCTCCATCCACAGGCCGCCAGGCCGACTCACCTTTCACCTCCATGGCCCGAGCTCCTCCTGGGACTTCGGAGAGGAAACAGCTCGCTGCCCCACCCACCCTTGCGACATTGACAGGCAGGCCTCTTGGCCCTTGGGCTGGCCGTGTGTCCCGGTCTGGGTCTCAGTTTCTCCATCTGTGAGGGTGAGGCCGTGTCAGCTCACCCCTCCGTCCAGCTCCAAGGTGGTACCATCTTGACTTGGGCTGGAGCACCGTGAGGGACAGGCCGGAGCCTGGAGCTGGGGCGGGAGGAGCAGCGAGGAGAGGACTCTGGCTTGCCCTCTGACCAGGAGCTGCTTTTGTGACGGGCAAAGTGTGACCCTCGTAGGTGTCTAGCTGCCAGCGAGAGGGCAGGCTGCTCAGAGGCCTCAGGCTGCCCAGGGATACCAGCAGGGCCATGGGCAGGGGCGCGTACCCACAAGACAAGGGAAAGGTTTGCAGGGGGACTTCGTGCGCTCTCTGGCACCCACCACGCTTCCCCTTCCTCTCCACGACTTGCTGCCAAAACAGTCCTGATGCCTGTGGACTTGCTTAAATCTCATCCAGAAAAGACAAGGGGGGAAAGAGGGTTGTTATTTGTGAAATTGCATTTCCCAGCCGTGAGGGTGACTCACGCATTTGGAGCTTCGAGTTTCTGTTTGGATGAACTTTTCTCTGGGAGGCTGGGCCGAGCTGCCCTGCCTCAGGCCAGTGGGTGAGGAGAGGCCTAGAGTCCATCTCAGGAGAGACCTGACAGTTGGAAAGTTCAGGTGCTCCCCCAGGTGACGCGGGGCTGGTTGTACTGAACTACCTGGGGGAGCTTTAAAAATGCAGATTCAAGCCCAGCCAGCATAGCTCAGTGGCTGAGCAGCACCTGTGAACAAGGAGGTCACGGTTCGATTCCCTGTCAGGGCACATGCCTGGGTTGCAGGCTCAATCCCCAGTAGAGGGTGTGTAGGAGGCAGCCAATCAATGATTCTCTCCCATCTACCTCTCTCTCCCTCTCCCTTTCTCTCTCTGAAATAAATAAAAATATATTTTTTAAAAAAGAATTGCCAAAATGATAGACGTTATGTACGTATTGTTTAACACAATAACAACAGCAGAGTCCAGGTCCCCAGGTGGCTGCGTTGCTAGGTTTGAAGCAGGGCCCAGAAAACTGTATTTGTTAAGTTTCCCAGGCCATTCAATACAAGTTGGAACATACTCATCTAATCTGTACAAAGGGAGACAATGACTCATCGGGTTGTGAGCATCAGCTGTCTTAACATGTGTCAAGTTTGCAGGGCTTGGTACAAAGTAGATGCTCAGTTATCATCTCATCTCATTCCCACTGGAGCCCTCCCACAGCCCCAAGGCTGTTCAGTCCTGGCTCCCACCCACCCAGGGATGGGGACCTTCCGTTTCTCAGGGTGGACCACCCGGTCTTGGGCCATCTGAGGGCTGGAGAGTTGCCCTCAGACCTGCGGGTTTGTGTGGTATCTTCCGCTGGTCCAGGGTGGCATGGTAGCACTGGGCAGTGGCAGAGCAGAGATGGCCATTGGGAGCCTTCGAGTTCTGTGCCCAGTGGCTGGAGGTGACTGTGTTGGGCCTGGGTTGCCCTGGACATAGTCTGTGTCTCCCTTCCAGGGCTAGACTCCAGGGCACACCTTCCCGAGGGAACAGAGGCCGAGAGGGGAGGGCAGGCTGCAGTCACAGGGGAGAGGGTGCGGGGGCCCCAGAAGAGTGTAGCATCCAGATGGTGAGGGCTGTGTCCTCTAGAAGGGGAGTCCAGACCCCAGAGACAGAACAAGTAGGGAGACTGAGGCGGACATGTGTGAGCGGTAGGGTCTGTCCTGGTTGTGGGGGTGCCTGCTCCCTTGGGGCAGGCTCTCAACTTATCTCCTTCCCCTTCTCACACTGAGGGGACACAGAAAGGACCGTCGCCACCCTGGGCCGCTGTCTGCCCCATCTTTGTAAGGGAGCCGGAGGCAACTTCCTCTCAGGGCCTCTCCTCGCCCATCAGCCTGGGGACTCCTGAGAACAAGGCCGTGTCTCTCCATCAGACCCACGGCCCCCCAAGGCCACTGTTCACGCCCGGAGTTCTCGGGCACCTGAGCTGGGTCAGGGTGCCCACGCCCACGCCCAGGCCTGTCACTGACCCTCCTGAGGAAGCTGCCTCTTCCCAGCCTTGGCTTTGACCCAGGAAAGGGAGCCATGGCCTCACCGCAGGCCCCACCTTCCCCAAATTCCAGTGTGCCTGGCCGCGGAGCCGGGGACTCCTATAAATAGAGGGTGTATACAGCAGGAGGGGGCCTGGGCCTCATCTGCTTTGAAGCCAGGCGAGACATCTGGTTCCTGTCAGCTGGAGGTGGGAGAGGTGGGAGAGGTGAGAGAGGTGGGAGAGGTGGCCACTTCCTCCCTGGGCTCCCAGACAGCCGGCCGGGCCGGGCCCAGGGCTCCCTGGACACAGTCTGCACAGGCCTTGTGCTGCCGGAGATCCAGCAAAGCGCTGGCTCTCAGGCTGCTCTCTGCTTAGTGGAAACCATGCTGCCCTGGTGTTCTGCTTCCTTACAAGTGGAGGAAACTGAGTCAGCTCTGACATAAGGGACGTGTCCCCAGTCCCTCCACCAGTGAGTGGCAGAGCCCCTAACCCAGCATGTGAGTCTTGCTGACCGGAGTATCTCCTGGCAGTGCGTGGAGAAGGACTAATGGGAATAATAACTGGCACTGTCATCGGCATCACCGCCTTCTACCAACCGAGCGGTCTGAGTGCGGGCGGGAGACCCGTGCTATACGTTTGTGACTTCCGTTATCTTACAGAAACCCTAGGAGACAGATATCATTCTTCCCGTTTTCCAGACGGGCCACTGTGGCCCAGAGGGGCTAACTGGCTTGCCCATGGACCAACGACTAGATTTGGATTTGAATCCAAGCTCCAGGAGGCCAGAGCCCATGGGCATCAGGGTCATTGTGAATTCGCGTGTGCGTGCACGTGAGTGCGCGGGCATGTGTGTGCATGTGTGTGCTTGTGCGCGCGCGCGTGTGTGTGTGCGCGCCCAACAGGAAATGTCCCTGAAGTCATGGCTGTGGCTGAGTGTGTCAGGCCTCTGGGCCCTCACAGCCTCTGTCCCCACAGGCCCTGAGCAGCAGCGTGTACAAGAGCACCTCGCCCTACGGCTCCCTCAACAACATCGCCGACGGCCTCAGCTCCCTCACCGAGCACTTCTCCGACCTGACCCTGACCTCTGAGACCCGGAAGCCCAGCAAGAGGCCCCCACCCAACTACCTGTGCCACCTGTGTTTCAACAAAGGACACTACATCAAGGACTGCCCCCAGGTAAGGCAGCCTGGCCCGTGCGGCTCTGGACCCCTGCTGCCCTGTGGGCAGCTTCTGTGGACAGGCAGCCCCGCTGTACCCGCTTCCCGGAGCAGGGGGCCTGGGGCCCTCTCTGGTCTTTACCTTCTTGTCCCCTCTGGTATTCCTGAGGAAGCCTGGCTGTGAGCAGGGCAGAGGCCCAGCACAGACCTGTACAGTTAGGCAGCAGGCTGGGTGGGGGACCCCAAAATGAGGTTTTGGACCTTCAGTCCCTACCCGTCTTCCTGCCAGGGCGGGTCCTGTTACTGTGAGGCGTGAGGTGGGACAGGGGCCAGCAGCCTCCTCACAGCTCTCCCCTGAGACCCCATCTCCTCGCACTCATAGGGAAGGAATGCGGGCTCTGGGCCAGGAATCCAGATGTGCGCCCCTCCCCCAGACCCACCTCTGCCTGCTCTGCACCAGGCTTCCTCCTCAGCCTGCTGCCTGCAGCACGGAGGGGCTGCCCCACCATGGGGCTGGTGAAGGCACTGTGGGAGGAGGAAAGGGGAGTAGGAGATTGGGGGTCTCTCACCGAATGCTTCGCCGAGACAGGGTGGGCGCTGGGGCAGCTCCCACCCACGAGGTGAGCCGGAATCCCGGGGAGAGAGTTCAACGGTTGCTTTAAATGCTATGCGAGATTATCAGCGATTTTCCCCTATTATTTTTTCATATTTTCCAGTGTTTTTATGATGTGGTACTACTTATTTTGTGTATGTAATGGAAATGGAATCCTGTAAACTCAGAAAACCCATGCTGTCTCACCCTCCAGATGTTGGAAGCCGAGGGCATGGCTGGGTGGGGCGGTCCCCGAAGGCCGGGAGGCTGCGATGTGCTTCTTGCTCACCACTCCCCTCACAGTGGCCGTGCCATGCTTTTTGTCCCCGCTGCTTCGAGCACAGCCAGGCGTGGCCCATCCGTGTGGCCTGGGAGCGTGTAGAGGCACAGACGCGCAGGCCTCCCAGAGCTGCATTGTAGTGAGACCCCCTCCCTGTGGTTCACGTCAGGGACCTTGGCCTCCCTCTACCCCGGGCAAGAGAGGCCCTCCCTGGTTGGGGGCAGCCGACCCACTGTGGCCGTTCTCCAGCTCCACATCCCGTGGGCCTGTCTTCCCCTCAGTATAGAGTCAGCAGGGCTCTGGCCTGAGATCTCAGCAGAAGGTGAGGCCCACCCTCCAGGGGCTGTCTGAGTAGGACCAGGGCCAAAGGAGCAACTGAGGACCCCGTTGGTCTTCAGAGTTGTGTCCGTGGCCCACCCATGGACAGCACCCCTAGTGCCCTCCCCAGCTGAGCCCGCCGCAGAGGGGTTCTCTGCTCTCAGTCATGCACAACAACACCTCAAAAACTTCCCTCCACCCCTCCTGCCTGCAGCCTGGGAGGTGGCAGAGGAGGACACAGGTGCTGTGATGAGTGGTCCTCCAGCATCATTGCGTTCAGTGCTCACAGCTACCCAGCGTGCCAAGTGCTCATATTAGCCTCATGCTACCTCATGCTTTGTGTCAGTCAAGGACTACACAGGACCATTGATCTGGAGGATCCAGGAATTTATTCCCTCCCCCCAGGTGGTGACAGTCAGACGCCGGGGCAAGGAGGTGTGCTCACACTGGGCACAGCCTGGGAAGGCTTCCAGGAGAAGGAGGGCTTGAGTGGGGCTGGCAGGTTGATGGGAGAAGAGCAGCAGATCCTCCCACAACATGACCAGTATCCCAAGGCAAAGGGTGGTGAGCCAGAGGTGGGAGGCTGGGACAGGGGCGTGTGCATGCGTGTGTGTGTGTGTGTGTGTGTGTGTGTGTGTGTGTGTGTGATCACACTGCCCTCTCCAGACAGGGCCAGTGCTCTTCTCAATGTGGGCAGGGGGTCCCTGCCCTCAGCGCCTCTCTTGCCAGCACAGGGCTAACCTGGTTCTTCCTTTATGTGGATTGCACAGTGTGTTCACTTACCTTGTGCAGGGCTCTTAACACTCTGGCAGAATTAGGAGTAATAGCCCCATTTTACAGCTGAAGAAACAGAGCCCCAGGGAGGTGAGGTGCTGAGGAGAGGGCGGGGAATATGGGCACCCAGTCCCGGGACCTCTGTGCTCTTTGGCCCCTGAGCACCCAGGCCACCAGGTGAGACACCCATGGCCTGTGGAGCCTCAGTTTCTCGCGCAGGCCCCATCACAAACCTGCTTCTATCTGGGACTCCTGCAGGCCCAAGGACCTCCCTCCACCCTTCACAAGGGGTAGAGGGCAAAGGCTGGAAACGTCAATTTCATCATCATAAAGTGAAGCTAATGAGGACACTACCTCATATGATTGTGAGGGTCCAGTGAAACAATGCATGGAAAGTGCTTGGCACAGTGCCTGGCACACAGTGGGCACTTAATAAACGTTGGCTAGCACTGGTGTTCTGCCACGGGTCACTGCACCCCCTGGCACGGTACTAGGAGGTCTGGCAGGCTGGAATGTGGTTGGGTGCTCCCCACTCCTCACCTGACCACAAGCTCAGGGGCAGTGCTGGGCTAGATTCAGCTCTGTACCCCTCGCTGTCTGACCCCCAGGAGAGCACACATAGCAGGTGCTGAGGGCAAACCTTCCTGAATGGAGGGATGTGTGAAGAAGGCTTTTATAAGGCCTGGAAATCTTTGCTCAAGCAAAATATTATAAATATCTCAGAATATGTAATATTTAAAAGTGGAATGCTTATTTTGGTAATAACTAATGAGATATAATTTACTTACCATGTAATTTACCCATTTAAAGTGTACGATTCAGTTATAGAACACTTTCGTCACCTCAGAAAGAAACCTCACACTCTTTAGCTGTCACCCTCTGTTCCCCAGCCCCTAGGAAACCATTAATCTACTTTCTGGCTGTATAGATTTGCCACTTCTTGATGTTTCATATGAATAGAATCATATACTATGTGGTTTTTGTGCCTAGATTCTTTCACTTAGCATATTGTTTTCAAGTTTCACTCATCAGTTCCTGATTTGGGAAGTGTTCCATTCTCTTTTCTGGAAGATTTTGTAAGAATTAATATTAATTTTTTCTTAATTGTTTGGTGACATTCATCTATGAAAGCATCAGAGCTTGGGCTTTCTTTTGTGGATAGGTTTTTTAAATTGCTAGTTCAATCTCTTCTCTTGTTACAGGTCTACTCAGATTTTCTATTTCTTCTGGAGTCAGTTTCTGTAGTTTGTGTGTGTCTTTCTAGGACACAAACTACACATACAGTTGTTCATACTATTCTATTATAATTCTTCTTATCTCTGTAAGCTTGCTATTAATGTTCCCCTCTTTCATCTCTGATTCTGGTAATTTGAGTCTTTTCTCTTTTTTTCCTTGGTCAAGCTAGGTCAGTGATGGCGAACCTTTTGAGCTCAGCGTGTCAACATTTTGAAAAACCTTAACTTAACTCTGGTGTCGTGTCACATATAGAAATATTTTGATATTTGCAACCATAGTAAAACAAAGACTTATATTTTTGATATTTATTTTATATAATTAAATGTCATTTAACAAAGAAAAATCAACCAAAAAAATGAGTTCGTGTGTCACCTCTGACACGCATGTCATAGGTTCGCCATCACTGAGCTAGGTAAAGTTTTGTCAATTTCATTGAACTTTTCAAAGAACCATCATTGGGTTTAGTTACTTTCCTTTATTATTTTTCTATTTTCTATTTCATTACTTTTCAGTTTATTCTTTTAAAAAATATGGCAAAATACATATAAGTACCACGCGCCAACCGATTGCGCCACTGGAGCTCCACAAAATACATATAAATAAAATTTACCATCCTAACCATTTTTAAGTGTATAGTTCAGTGGCATTAAGTACATTCACATTGTTGTACCACTATCAATGCCACCCAACAAACCTCTTTTCATCTTGCAAAACTGTCCCATTAAACAATAACTCCCTCTCTTCCCTAGCCCCTGCACCATTTTACTTTCTGTGTCTGTGAACTTGACTACTCAAGGACCTCCTTTAAGTGGAATCGTACAGTATTTGTTCTTTTGTAACTGACTTATTTCACTTATAATGTCCGGAAGATTCATTCACGATATAGTATGTCACAAGATTTCCTGCCTTCCTTTATTTTTATATCCTTATCCGAGGATAAGTTTTTATTGATTTTAGAGAGAAAGGGAGAGGGAGAGAAAGAGAGAGAAACATCAATGGGATCAGGGATTGAACCACAACCTTTGGTGCATGGGACAACGCTCCAACCAACTGAGTCATCCGGCCAGTGCGATAATATTTGTGTGTGTGTGTGTGTGTGCGTGTGTGTGTGTGTGTGTGTGATTACCGCATTCTGTTTATCCATTTATTCATCAATGAACAAGTGGCATGCTTCCACCTTTTGGCTATTGTGAATAATGCTGTAATGAACATGGGTGTACAAATATTCTTCTGAGTCCTTGCTTTTTAAAAAAAATGTATATATTTTATTGATTTTTCTTTTTTTTACAGAGAGGAAGGGAGAGGGATAGAGAGTTAGAAACATCGATGAGAGAGAAATATCGATCAGCTGCCTCCTGCACACTCCCCACTGGGGATGTGCCCACAACCAAGGTACATGCCCTTGCCGGAATCGAACCCGGGACCCTTGAGTCCTCAGGCCAATGCTCTATCCACTGAGCCAAACCGGTTAGGGCTGAGTCCTTGTTTTTAAGTCTTCACTCTAATCGTTGTATTTCCTTCCTTCAGCTTGCTTTGAGTTTATTTTCTCTTCTTTTTCTAGTTTCTTGAAGTGGAAGATTGGGTTATTGACTTTACATTCTTTCTTCCTTCTCGTATGTACAGCCCATCATCATTCGGTGTGCCTTCATTGTAACATCGATGAGATGCCATCGAAAGTTCACTCCTGCTTATATCAATTAGCCCATGATGAAATTGGTTTCGTTATTTGTGTTTCACTTCAAGTCACATAATCCTACCAACGACATTGATGCTTACAACTACACATTTTCCTCTGAGCTGCATCCCGTAGGTTTTGGAA